ACTAAACAATATTTTGTATGAATGAATTCAAGTAGCATGCATAGCTCAAACTTAGATATTCTTTATATAGTGATGATAATTTGTGAATGAACCAATTTTTGTGATCATCTTTTATATTTATTCATCACTGCCTTTGATTGTAAGGATTGCTATGTCAGACCTTGGCAATGAATTGAGTACCTATGCTTAGACAGGTCTTCCTTTGAGATATGTATAAGTGTGTTAATATGGTGTGGTAGCATCATGAAATTATTTCACAGTGAGTGCAATAACTGCTTGAATCGAGGCAGGGTCTTTTTTTGTTTAAATTTCACATTATGTAGTCAACTGTGTGCTTTGTACAGGAGATTTAATGGCATTAAATACTTTTATGTACGTTATAAATGTGATTTATTCGTCAGTAGCGCGGCGTTGCTACAAGAGCACACCCCGGACACAGGCAAGGAAGGCATCCACTGTAGGCTTGAGGCTGTCCGGGAACGGCTTCCCGTTGACGCAGTCCTCGATCTGCTTCTCTACGGCGGCGGGGGCAGTCCCGGCGCCCAGGGCCTCCATGCCGTCGGACACGCAGGTGGTGATCTGTGCGCAACACTCAATGAGAAAGGGCCACGAAGAAAGAATTTTTTGCAGGGGTAACATTTTGATAAGTTAAGGTTCTTTCCCTTTCAGTCGTCTAGTCAAGTCATCGAGGGGTGACGCAAAGAGGCCATGTTAAAAGTACCCAACAGAACGGGGTTTGGTCGGATACAGACGATGAAAGTGGACTTCCAGTTTCGACGTCTTTAGTCGTCACCTTGGCGAGCTCGCTGTAGTCCCCGCCGCTTATCATGGGGGGCTCGTGCTTGCGGACACACTCCTGGACGGCGGCCTCCATCACGTCGGCGGGGGAAGGCTCATCGTCATCGGAGGAGGACGACGACGACGAGGAGCTCGAGGAGTCGGCCTGCAGCCCCTGCAAAAAGCCTCGGGCGTCAGGCACAGGGTCGAGGGGGATGCGCCGCCGCACAAACTCGAGCACCTCTCTCACCCCGACGAGCAGCAGGAGGCAGACGGCGGCAACCGCAGCAGGCTGGGCGGCGAGAGTCGTCATGGTGTCGGCTGCCGTGATGGCGATGACGCGGCGGACTTCCCTGGACGCGTTATATTCTGGCGCGTCTGGTTTGTCCAGCTGCGCGCCGCGCCGGTTGGGGCTGTATTTGTATGTGTGTGTGTGCGCGCGCGCGCGCCCGTTGTGCGTGGAGTGATTCACCCTTGTGTGTTTGAACATTGCGCATCTGCTTGCTTTCTCAGTTCCATTCACTTTATTTTTTTAGTCAGTTTCGGCCCACTTTTACAGCACGCCATATATAACGGCCGCCAGCCCGCTGGCGGCCTTACTCCGAGGAGCCATGGGCCCGCCCCTCGGCCCGCCCCTTGGCCTGGCCGGCGCGCTCTTCGTCTCCGTCGCGGCCCTCCTCGCGGTGAGTCTGGCGGCCCAAGGCAATGAATCGTGCGTGCGACTTTCAGGGGTGCGGGGGGGTCAAATGTTATGTGGTCCCAAAATGTTCCGGACATTCACTGGAGGCCATAGGGACCCCTGTAAATTTTTACCCTGAGGTTTAATTATCATGGGGCCCCTATGGACTCCAATGACCGCCACTTTGGTACCCCATAATATTTGGAGCCCCCTCCCCCACTTGAAAGTAACGTGGTTTGTGTATGATCCCCTGGCTTGTCGCTGACGTGAGAGCATTTCGCCCGGCCGCAGAGCGCTCCCCAATGCGGCGCCACGTTGCTGGGCCCGCCCTTGCAGATCGTCAAGGTGCTGTCCCTCGGGGCGGCCCCGGGTGCGGGGGCGTCCCTGGGCTCCACCATCACGCTGGCGGCGCCGCCCCCGCTCGACGCGCTGGTCGCCTGGAAGAAGGCCATCGCGAGCGCCATCCTGAGCCCGCCCGTGCTGCCCCCGCTGCCGCCCGCCC